CCTGCCCTTTAGCAGAGGACAGTCGTGATCTGAACCCCAAAGGTTGTGAGGTTTACAGCCACTGTACCCCGCCTCCTGGCCTGAGCCCAGACACCTGCCCGGAGTCCTGCTCAGGCAAACATATGTAAATGCAGGCCCCTCCATTCTCCCTCTCTGCCTGTCTTTAGGGAAAGCATCCACCAGCCCCAAGGGCATTAGGTATTGGGGGCAGGGGAGGGCTGGGGGTTTGAGGAGGAAATTGTCAAAAGCTGGGCGACTAGAAATGAGATTCCAGGTTTAACTTAGCCCCTCTCTGGACCTCGGTCCCTCACCCAGACACAGAGCAGATTGCCTCTAAAGATCCTTAGGGGAAAAAGGAACCAAGTGTGGGAGAGTTCTCCCCCATCCAAGCCTTGATGGGAGAGGGGAAGACCGCCCCTTCCCTGCAGACCAGGATCCTCACCAGAGGGGGAAACTCCGAACCTGCCCACCTTACCGCATTCCCTGACGGTGACCTGCCTGTCCACACACTCCAGGAAGGAACTCTTTTACAGGGACCGAATGGAGGGAATGATGACAATAAAGAAAATAACTATATGAGACAACCTGATTAGGTGGTATTACCGGACCAGAAAATTTGTGAGCTTTTTCAAGTTAAAAATTTTTTTGAACATGAATTCTGATTCATTTGGTAGTATCCCTGGAGCAGGGCTGAGGCATAGAGAGAGGCCTTTCCTTCAGCCAGGCTGGCTGTCTCCCGCTGATTTATTCTTGTTTTATTTGTGTATTTCTTAATGGACCAAGTGGTGGTTCCTCTTTGGGCCCCTCCGGCGGGCGGACAGCTCCTTCCCGGCTCAGGGCTTGGCTCTGGTTTGGTTTTCATATACTTGGGGGTCTGGGGAGCCAGGAGGCTGCGGTGGGGGGCAGAGGCACACGAGGGAGGCAGAGCCTGCCTTGCCTCCGCCCCCATTTCCTGGCTCTGGGTGCCTTGTTCCACCCCCACTCCCCGTATCCTGGGCTCAAGCTGCTCTCCCACCCCGCACTAACCACTGGCCCTGCCAGAGCCCGCTGCTGCCAGCAGCCACGTGATCCCGGCCTGGCTCCAGCCCGGGTACCCAGGTGCCTGCTAGCCAGAGGTGGCCATGGAAGGTGAGACTCCCTCTGCCAACAGCTTTTGGATTGATTGCCATTCAGTTACCTCAACAAGTACGTATGGGGCGACCCCTCTGTGCCAGGCAGCAGACAGAGTCCCTGCCCTGGAGCAGTTCCAATCTCCAGGGCAGAGGTGTGTGGAGGGTGGCGCTTGGCATTTAACCCCAGCCCAGGGGTCTCCACTCCCTTCCCAGCATCCTAGAGATCTTGGAAGCTGGGCTGGCTGCTGTGACTGAGCGCAGGGAAACTCCTCACACAAACCATTCAGCAAAGATGTCTGTGACTCCCTGGTTAAAAAAAAAAAAAGGAACTGGGGTTGGGGTGTCCTTTTCCCCTGGGATGGGTGGAGGCGGGGAAAGAATTGTGGAGTCTGGGCCTAGGGGCGTGGGGAAGGGGGCTGGCGGGAGAACCGTGTAGATGTGAGTCGAAAAGTGCGGTCTAGAGGATCAGATCCATGTTCCCGCTCGGTAAAGTTAAATTCTCCCCGTAAAAGTCCAAGGCAGTGCTGTTAGGGAGCTGGAGGGACCCCTGTGTACCCTAACTTTGGAAGCAACAGAGGAAGGGCCCCTGTGTACCCCAATTTGGGAAGCAACAGAGGAGTGGCCCAAGGGAGCAGAATTAGCCCCTGAGGCCCAGGGCTCTGAGAGAAGGGGGTGGGAAAGGCCTCCTGAAACCCCCATCAGAATAGGCCCAACACTCTAAAATCCACCCCTCAATCCACCAGGCTCCCAGTCCAGACCAGAAAGCCCCCCAAAGGCACAGGCGGCCCAAGTGAAAGCAAGGTTTATTTGGCCACATTCCCTCGCTTTCCTGGCCATATACCAGAAAGCAGCGGTAGGGAAAGTGCACCCCGCTCCCTGCCCTGTCCCTTCTAAATCTCTTCACCTCTAAAGCCCACTCTTTGAGACCCCAGAATTAGGGTTTAAGAGAAATGTGCCAGGAACGTGGGAGGGGCTGGGCGGCAGCTGACCTTTCCTGCACTAAAAGCCAAACTGAAGGCCGCTCCCTCCCTCGGTGGAGAGTATCTGGGTTGTAGGACTGTTCTCTGCCTCCCCTTCTGTAAGACCCACATCATCTGCACCAGCCCCTCACAAATCCAGTCCCTACCTTCGGGTGGGTGCCAGGGGTTTCCTCCTTTCCTCCCTGTCCATCTGTTCCTGCCAGCCCCAATCCCCTCCATCTGCCTCCTCCTCTCCTCCTCCAGGCTTCCTGTGCTCTGTTTACCGTTTTGTAACTCCATCCCTCCACAAGTCAAGGACTCTGCTAGCTGGTTTCCTAGATAGCCAGATACAGCTTTCCAGTGGGCCCTCAAAAAATTTCCCTAAATAAGTCTCTCTCAGCCCCCACATATAAATAAATATGTCTGTACAGAGATGGACTGGCCTCAGCCCCAATACACACACATCATGAGATAATTACACCCTTATATACATACAGATATCGCTATAGAGTTATATTCCCAAGTGTCTATAACTCTAGGGAGAGAGAGCAGCTTGTACATATAGGACTATAATTACTTATGTCTATTTTTATAACTATGTAGTTATAAATAGATATGCCTATATATAGTGATAATAATATAGAAATATCTCCATAGCCATATATGGTTCTAAGTGAATGCCCTAACTACCCTATATCACAATCAATAAGTATATATCTCCTGATACATAATTCCAACGATATACATTTATCTATATAGCTGCTAAGAGACATAAATCTGTCAGGATATCAAATGTCCATAAACCTGGATGGCTATAAGAGAGTCGTATATTTTCTCATATATAAATCTGCTCCTATAACTATTGTATAAGCACAAATACAATGGAAATAATTATATTTTCCTCAAGCATAAATCTGTAAATACAACCACAGCACATTTAGGTATGGTTAGAGATAGAGCAATATTTCCTAGACATCAGTCTGTCAATAGAGCCACCAGTGCCTCCAAACAGAGAGAGTTATAGTGGGAGTTATAAATAAACTCTCCAGATGTGAAGGGATCAGTAGAACTAGATGTAAACACGGCTCTAAGCCGGCCTTTCTTTTTCTTCTTCTTTGTAAGATATTCCTCAAGCGAGCACGGTCACATACGAGCCGGCGCAGAGGGGTGTGGGCACTGATATTTTCCCCTAAGGAGAGTGGGAGGTCGCTGGACTTTGGGAAACCAAGTAGGAGTGGGTGGTGGGCAGCCCCGAAGCCCCTTCCGTGTAAGTCTCCCGGTGGCAGAGAGCTCGGGCGAGCGGAGAGGCCTAGGGGAGAAAAATGAAGAGTCTAGCTTGAGTCACTTTGCCCCCGTCTTAGGCCCAAAATCCTCCCACCAGGGAAACCGCGGCTGACTGAGCATCCTAGCCGAGAGAGCAGGAGGTGCGCCGAGGCTGGCTGGGGAGAGGGGGCTGCAGGCCAGGCTGGGGAGGCCGAGACTGGAGACGGAGCGGGGTCGCCAGCCGGTGCCTGGCCGCCCGGCGCCCCATCGCCCCGGGCAGCTGCCTCGCCCGGCGGCCGCCTGGAACCCAAGACCCGGGCCTTCTCGGCGCCCCTGCGCTCAGCGCTTCCACCGGTTTCATTTTATTATTTTGTCCGATTCGTTACCGCAGGGTCCTGCACCCCGTGTGGTTTTCAAAGGCGAGGACGCCCAGGGTTCTTTTTCGCTCTCTGTTGTGCACACTGGTCTGGAAGAAGTGACTCAGTGGAGAGTGTATTTCTCCGTCTCTTTTCAAACCAGATGGGTCACCGGCTGTTGAAAAAGAATCCAAACCTCTGAAAAGGTTTGTGACTTAAATCTTTTCAAAGTTCTCACGCTCATTTGTTATGGTCATTTTCTTTTAAAAAGTTGGCTAATTTATGTTTTTATATTTCCTCTTTGCTTTTTTTGGAATATAATTGTTTTTAGAGGGGGGGATTTCGTTAGACCCGAAACTGTGGGGCGGCTTCCTCTCCAGCAAGCGTCCTATCTCTACACCTCGGACTCCCTCCTCCCCCAAATAAATAAATTAATACGATTATCAGAAAATTGTACCTGGAGAGGATGAGGCGAACGAGGAAGGATCCGGGACCGTGGTCTTCTCTTCCTTTATGGAAATCCGCTCCGCTCCAAGCCCGCGAAGGAAAATTCTAAGCGCCTCAACTCAACCCCTCCCTTTTCTCTCTTTTTTTAAGAAAATACCCCAGGAAGGGAACTTTCCCTGGGCCTCCTGGACCCCCAGCCTCGCTCTCCCCTCGTTCAGGCGGCCATAAATGTTTTTCAGCTTCCGTCCCTGGCGGGCAGCTCAATCTCCAGGGCATCTCCGCCGCCCGGCGGGCCGGGACCCCGGCTGTGGTCATCGCCTCGTTCCTCTCTGCCCCTCGGCCTGACTCGGCACGCATGCCATCCTCTTTAAAACGGGGGCTCCAGGGAGTCCCCAAAGTCACTCACCACCCCCGTGTGTCGGGCCCTTCCCCTGATAGCACAAAGCAAAAGCCGGAGAAAAAGAAGCGGGGCAGAGCGGCCTCCTGGCTCTCCCTCTCCTCCTCTGGCCGGAGGACCTTATGGGGGGAGGGGGGGTCCCAAACTCAGCCCCCCAAGGACATACGAAGACGCTAACTTCCTTCCTTCCTTCCTTGTCTTCTCCTCAGATGCTGTGATCCTGACTTCTTCCCCCGTCCCCTCCTCAAAATATCTCCTCTTGCATTTTATTGTTATCCTGCTAGGGAGGGACTGTTAACTACTGTTTTTATTGTTAGCTTTTATTGTTATTATGATTGTTGTTAGAGATTTGTTCACGGGGTTCAGGGGACAACAGCCGGGCCCACAGGGAGGCCTGCTTGTCACACGTGCACGCACGCACACACACACACACACACACCTAGCAGCGTGTGCACACAGTCCCAGGTACATGCCCACAAACGCCTGCTGCGCTCAGGCCCCTGCACAGCAATGCACCGGAGGAGGCAAGCGGCCGTCCTCCTACCCCAGCGCGCAAACACCACACTGCCCACGCACCCGGCGTTCAGGCGCAACCACCACCCCCAGACGATGCCCAAACCCACACACACGAGCCCGTAAGAAAAGGAAAATACATAAGAACCCACTTGCAGAGATTCCTTCTCTCCCACAACCTGGAGGGGTGAGTCAGGCCTCTGTCTCTTTCCCCCAGTCTCTCTCTTTCTCTTTTTTTTCTCCTTGTTTACAGCTTCAGAGAGCTCAAGGCCCATAAATCTTGAGGGGCCTACAGAGCGCAGAGCACATTTGTATGCATCGTTAGGACTCGCTAATACCTAAGCCCATTAACGAGCGTGTATGCGCGTGGTTTCCGGTGTGTATTAACTTATAGTTAAATTCTGGAGGAAAGGGCATTGTGAATTAACATATACCAAATCCATCACGGGCTTTTGTCATATAGATTAGTCAGCCGTGGGTTTGGGGGAGCGGTTGCCTATGTCGGGGTGTACCTATCCTCCAAACTTTCTGGAGCAAGCGTTAGGGGTCTAGGGGACGACAGGACACTCCTACCCAGACCCGTCATTCAGATCTCCCAGGCCAGCGCCTTCACACCTGCGGGAGGGTGGAGGGGCAAGGGAGCCGGGTCTGGGAGGCCGCGGGCGGCGGAGGGAGGCGGGCAAGAGGAGGCCCCACCGGCGGCAGGCCGGGGCTGTGCCTGGGCGCTAGGCCCGTGGCTGCTGGGCCGTCTGCTTTCCCCTTTCCGCTTTCCGCGAGAACCCAGAGGAGAGGAAAGGCAAGTGGAGTCGCTGAACTTTAATTAAACCGAAGAGAAGACGGTGGGGAGAGGAAAAAACGATCGGAGGAGGAGGCCGAAAGGCCGAGGAAAGGAAGCGAGTCCGGCTCGGTCGGGAAGCCTGGAGATCCTGCGAGGGGCTGAGGCCGGGCCTTGCAGGAAGGTTTTCCTTTTCCGTGCCCCGGCTTCTCCACCCCGGGCGAGGAGGCTGACTAAATTCTAGCCCTCTTAAAAATATTTTTTTAAAAAAAGAAAGAAAAGGTAAAGAAAAAGAGAATTCTAATTGTATGGCATGTTTCAGCCAGGTGTTCCTGGTTCCAATGACTCAGATCCTGTTGGAACCCCGAGGATCTGTATACTTGGGCCTGTACAGACAGAGATGAAGGATGCCAGTTCCAGAGGAGGAAAGAGAGTGGAAGGTCCATCTCTTGGGGTCCTGTAGAAAATGCCCAAGACAAAACAAGTTAATTATTGTGTGCGTCTAGATCTAGTTGCCTATTTAAATAGGTAGGGGTGTATTTAAATACAGGGGTGGGGGGGTGGACAGGGAGTAACCGGCCCGATTGGGGCGGTGGAGAAAATGCTCCCCTCCTTCATTTGCGCGAGCAGCTTCGGGGCCTCCTCGGCGAGGCTCGGGCGGCGCGCCGGGCCGGGGCCGGGGCCGGGGCCGGGCCGGGGCTGGGGGAGGGGAGGCGGGGGCGGGCCCTCCCCGGGCGCTGTGAACTTTAGCTGGGCCGCCGCCTGTCAGCCCCAGAAAGCGTTAAAGGTGCAGCAGCCCGCGCCAGCCTCCGCAGCCGCCTTTGTACGCGTGATTTATGACTTCAATCTTGGTTCACCGAGAGTTCACACGGCTTTCGCTGCTGTTGAAGGTTAAAAGATGGTCTTCGCTTGACAAGTGGGACTATTGAAAATTCCTTCTTCTTAGTTTTTTTTTTTTTTTTTTAAAGAAGCGAAGAGCAGAGGCTCAGGAGAGAGAGAAAAAAATTTGGGGGGAGGGGACAAGGGTTGCAGGTGGGGGAAAATGGTAGATCAGGAAAGTTTGCCCCTCTACATTTAGACTTTTTTGTAGCTAGGATTTGGGAGTGTATATTGGGGAGGTGGGTGGAGAGTAGGAGGAGCTAGGGAAGGATTTAAGGATCTCATCTTTGAGGAGGCCAAAGGAGTGGCATTTTTAAAAACAATTCGTGCTTCCGCAGTTAATTTTCTGGATAACTTGGATCACACCTAACTGATCCTCCTTTCGAGACCGAAAGTGGGGCCAGGGAAGGAGAGAGCTTGGGGTGAAGGGCGGGTGTGTGGTCCCCAGGGCAGGAGGTGCCCACCCCGTGTGCCTGGCTGACCATCCACCTTGCCTGGTAGTGGCTTTTCAAGCGTGCTCCCATACCTACAGATTTGGAAAAGGGCTTTTAGGTCTCAATGTTTCAACTCCCTTCATCCTGTAGATTTAGCCTGACATGAATATTTGATGCAAATGACAAGGCTGATGGGAAAACTGTAGGACTGGAATTAGAAGTCCTTTCTAATGCCAGATCCCCTTGGCCCATGATCCTCTAGCTCCTTTTCCTTTTAGCATTTTGAAGAAGATGGTTCATAGCAGAGATGGTGGTCAAGGATCTCCTGGTGGGCAGAAGATAAGGTCCCTTTGTGGTCTAAGACCTCAATTTGGAAGGTCTTCCTTTTGAAGGTCTATTTGGAAGAACAAGAATCTCTCCTCCTTTTACGATTCCCTGAGAGAGAGAATGAGATCCCCTGGAGCTTTGAGGTTCTGAGCAGCACTTTGAGATTCCTTTAAAGTATCTTTAAATACCCTGAAATGGGAATTTGGGATTATGGGTTTTGGGGAGAAGAGCAGCGGAGTGCTGGGTCTGGTGTTGGGCATGCCTCCACAGCCCTAGTTAGGCCGTACCTCCGTTATTGATGCCATGTAGATGTCTTCTCAGGAGGTCAGAGTCAGGCCCTCAAACCCAGATCCTGGAACCAGCTGCATCCACGCTAGAAAGGGTGCTCCCTGTTTCTCTTCCCGTGGAGAGTTGGAGAGGCCTTCAGCCGCAGTATAGGGCTCATAGGCAATCCCCATGAGAAGGGAGGAGGGAGAGGGAGAAGAGTCAGAAAGATGACCACACCTCCCTGGGACACCCAGCGCCAGCCCCTCCTGAGGGCACCCCATATATGAACAGAACAGGCAGCAGGGAACAGACCCCAGAAATCCAGAGTCCGGGTTCTGAAGTCACTTTGGCCGGGGTGGCCCTCTGGCCTCAGAAAGAACAGAGACAGTGTGGCACTGTATTTAGAAGCTTGGGGGGAGGAATCAGCCAAGGAAGCTGATGAAACTCTTCTAGGTTCTGGCTGGGAAGCAGAGAATGAACTTAGGGGCCTCTGGAAGTAATGGCTGCACTGAAGTCCCCTTCCCACCTCCTCCAACTGTGTTCCTCCCTGGGAGATAATTTCAGCGGGCTTGTGCTTATCTGCAAGTCTGAAATAATTATGAATTAATTCATAATTAAGACTGTTGATTGTGACCATTGCTCTCTGGTGGGCTCATTTATTTTCTTCACCTCTGTGAAGCACAGGGTAGCCTCTGTTAGCCCTTGCCCTCAGGACAAACTGAGTCCTGGCCTCTTTTGAAGGCAGCCCTTGAACTCAGCGCCTTTGTGAAATGGTTGTCTCATTTTGCTACAAGTCATGTTGCACCTCACAGAGTATTTGCATTCAATGAACCACCTCCCACTAACTTCAGATTTCAAAGTGCTTTGTAGGCTTGGCTCCTGAAAAGATAGAATGGGGACTGGGAGTGAGACCCCAACGAGGGAAGCAGCTTGGCTAAGGCCAATGCGGAGGCAGGACTCCTAGGCGCAATACCCCAGTGATTGGGGATCAGGGATGGGCATTCTGCCTCCCTGGCCCTAAGGAGCTGTTGGCCTCCCTTAGCCCTTGAAGGACCCCTGAATACACACCTGGCTCTTTTTCCTGACCCTCCTTTACCCCCACCCCACTCCCCTGTAGGAGGCAAAGGCTTGAAGATACACCATACCCATGGATGGTTAGGGGTGGGGAAGTGGGATCTGCTGGTTGTTTCACATCTGTAACAGCCTAGAGAAGGAGAAAATTCTATCCCATGAGATCATTTCCATCTAAATCCCCGCCTGCAGCCCACCTCCCCTGCACTGAGACAGTTCTTTTTATCCCCTCGCCCTCCTTTCCTGCCCTCTAAAAAGTCTGTTCGGGAGGTCGAGGCAGCTCCCACAGTTGGTGGGAGACAGAAGTAGGAAATGAGGGAGGGGGCTTCAAACCTGCTACTTCCCACCTCTGTTCCTCAAACCCAACTCAACACCCTGCTACCAGGGCCCTCCCTCCTCCTTCTCCCAACTCTCCCTCCCTCTCTGAGGCCGGGGCTGCTCTAAGAACACCACCACTTTCTGTAGGACATTCGGGGACCCAACCCCCTGTGTCTCTCAGTGCGTTTCTGGTCCAGAGGGAAGCCAGTGGTGGAGCCAGCACATCACCACTTCGTGCCCCAGTGGAGCTGTCTGTGGAATCATCTCATTGTCATCCCAAACCTCACTGGCTCTTCCCCCGAGCCACCCAGCGTCCCTGGTCTCCCCCAAGCCAGAGGCAGGTAGGAAGCCCATCCAGAGAGTCGCTTGGAGCTGGCAAGTATATTTTCATTTACTGTTTGATGGCAAATAAAGAGACCTTGGGAAAAAAGGGAAGGAGCAACTGCGCCCGCGTCCTCCCCACCAGCCCCTCCTCTGGACATTGGCTTTCTCCAGGAAACAGTGCACTGTTGTTCTTGGACGACCATTCCCCACCATCTCCGTTCGGAGGGTTTGAGTTTCACCCTCCGTTCACCCCCATTAATCACCCCAGCAGCTAAACATCACCCAGCCCCCTCTGGCCCTTTCTCTTCTTTTTGCCCTTAGTATTCATGGCGGGCATTCCTCACGGCTGCGGGCCTCACAAAGACCCCTCCTCCCACACAGGGTCCCTCCCCCGCCCCAGCTACCCCGTCTCGTGGGCACTCCTCACCCTTCCTGACATCTGAGTGGCAGCACCCACTCCCGGACCCCATTCCCCAGCTCTCTCCACAGCCACTGCCCCTCCAGTGTGGAATCCTCACCACACCCTCCTTCAGGTGCCTCGTCTCATCCCTACAGCCCCTCCCCGGTCTGTCCCCCGACTCTCTCCTCCATGCCCCATCCACGGTAGCCCCTCTGAGACGATGTGCCCTGGGCCCTTCCTTCCAGCCTTGAGAAACTGAGAGGCGGTGTAGTACATGTGGTTAAAAGCATGGGTTTTGGATTCAAATCCCAGATGTGTCATGTGCTAGTTTGTACAACCTTAGGCAAATTTCTTAACCTCTCTGAGCCATCCATGAAATGGACATACCCGCT